TATGCATATATATTTAAATTCTACGTGCGTATTTATGTAATATTTTTACATAATTAAGTAATTTTATTGATTGCAATTTGAGGGACCTGCCTGCCAACCCAGGCCGAAAGTCCAGAGAATTTAATTTGTTAGCACTGTATTTTACCCTGTAACGTTCTAGGACACCCTAAAACCTGTACATGGGGGGTACTGTTTTACTCAGGAGACTTCGCTGAACACAAATATTAGTGATTCAAAACAGTAAAACATATCACAGCGATGATATTGTCAGTGAAAGTGACTTTTTTTGCATTTTCACACACAAACAGCACTTTTTACTGATGATATAATTGTTATGATACGTTTTCCAGTTTTTAAACACTAATATTTGTGTTCAGCGATGTCTCCTGAGTAAAACAGTACCCCCCATGTACAGGTTTTATAGCATTTTTGAAAGTTACAAGGTCAAATATATGGGTCAAATATTTTTACATTGAAAATGGCCAGGTTGGTTACGTTGCCTTTGAGAGCGTATGGTAGCCCAGGAATGAGAATTACCCCATGATGGCATACCATTTGCAAAAGAAGACAACCCAAGGTATTGCAAATGGGGTATGTCCAGTCTTTTTTAGTAACCACTTGGTCACAAACACTGGCCAAAATTAGCGTTCAATTTAGTTTTTTTACTTTTTTCACACACAAACAAATATGAATGCTTACTTGGCCAGTGTTTTCGACTAAGTGGCTACTAAAAAAGACTGGACATACCCCATATTGAATACCCTGGGTTGTCTACTTTAAAAAAAATATGTACATGTGGGGTGTTATTCAGAGATTTATGACAGATAATAGTGTTACAATGTCACTATTGATAAATTTTAAAAATGTATGCTTTGAAACCGCAATATCCTACTTGTACCTATAGCCCTATAACATGCAAAAAAAAAAGCACGTAAACACTAGGTATTTTTAAACTCAGGACAAAATTTTGAATCCATTTAGCAGTTTTTTTCATTCGCTTTTGTAGATGAGTAAAAGATTTTTCAAGTAAAAGTCAAAAAACATGTATTTTTTTCAATTTTTCATCAGATTTTTGTATTTTTTTTAAATTAAAATACATGAGATTATATAAATAATGGTATATAAAGAAAGCCCCTTTTGTCCTGAAAAAAACAATATATAATTTGTATGGGAACAGTAAATGAGAAAGCGGAAAATTACAGCCAAACACAAACACCACAAAAGTGTAAAAATATGCCTGGTCGCAAATGTACAACATCGCAAAAACAGTCCAGTCCTTAAGGGGTTAATGGATTCAACCCTCTGTACCTATTTCAGTGGACAAGTAGGCAATCCAGAGCAAATGATTTTGACATGTGTTATAAAGGCTTATTCTGTGAATCTACAATTACTCTCTTATTCCAAACTGGTTAGTATACAGTTAAGGATTTATGCACATAGGAACTGTCAGTATAGATATTAAATGGGCCCTTAATGATTTCATCTACAGTTTTAATTCTTTCAATTCTGCTCTTTGGACTGACATATATACTGGTAATTGGAAAATGAGTGTTGCATGGCCCTCAATCCTTACAGCATATCCTGTACAATAGGCACTGTCTTGAAAATAATGTGTCTCATCTATAAAGACATTATCATGGTCCTCATCTGTTTTTGGTATTGAATAAAAAGGTGAGAACCTTTCCTAGTCTACATGATTTCCACAATCATGGAGGGTGCACTTTATGTTCTTCTTTGATGTAACATGTACTTTGTACTGACCACATCTCTATCTTGCATCTTAAACATCCACTGTGTTATACACTGTGAATGTACAAACAAGTTGTAGCGGCATATGAGGTATCTGCATGATGAAACTGTTAATTCCAAATCTGGGTAGTAGCTTTAGTAGATCAACATACAACCTATAGCTGTTTGATACATTCAGACATTCCTTTTTTACTGTGCATCATACTCCAGAAAAGTAGTTAATCACTGTAGGAGTACCTCTTTGGTCCTGCATGAGGACTGTGGATATTAGTCCTGCACATGTCTGAATTATGAACGGGTAGTCAGGGATAGGAGAGGTTTACATAGGAAGCAAAATAAGATTTTGATTAAGCTAGGTATAGGCCACTTTGGGCCACTCGTAATTTGCTCCATGTGTTAGCTTGTATAGAGATTTTCCTGACATATGTTGGCAGTATAATAGGGATGTACTCTTCCCTGGGACAAGCATCTAAAATAAAATTACTGTGACAAAAAGAGACTTTAATGTGTCACATGACGCAAGATGCAGACCACCCCCCCCCCCCATGCTGAGATATCTGCCTAACAGTTGCTGTTTGAAAATAAAGGTTGTTGCTGTTTATACCAAGATAGAAGCTGGTTGTATCTTTCCTTGCTTTAACTATCCAAGATCTGCTTTAATGTGAATGCTGGTGGATAAAGGGACTCCAAGCCCAGGTCATAACACTTAGTACAGTGTGCAAGTAAGTACCCATAAACAATATTAGCGTATTCTAGCTGTGGGATAACTTGCAGTACAGTGATCTGAAGAGGCTAAAGTTGACCGGAGATGTACACCAGAGCTCAGAGCGCTGCTGAGAGATGTAACATGGCTGAGCAGCAGAATGGAGTGTCTGAACCACAACCAGAGGCTTCCAGCATCGCTCCTGCAATGTCAACCTGAGCAATTAGACTGGCCCAGAGAATGTAGGACTACAGGGATGCCGCAGGTGGCCAAGTAAGCCTTAAGGAGCGGCTAGCAATCGCAGTAGAGGACCTAGCCCACAAGGATCGTGATCACCAAGTGAATGTGACTGGAGCCATGGTTTCCCCATCTAGCCAGAAATAGGGTCCACATCTCAAAGTATCAGTGCACAGCTTTTCTATGTTTGATGATATAGATGGGTTCCTGCATGACTTTGAGCGGCAATATGAGCTCAGTTGCTTGCCGCCAGATGACTGGGTGTGGGTACTGGATGGGAGGCCTACAGAGTGATTCCATGAGAGAAATGGGGGGACTACTAGGTCGTTAAGTGAGCTGTGCTGGACAGGTACTCTGTCATCCCAGAGTCCTACAGGGTAAAGTTCCGGGAGATCCAGCCGAATCCAGAAGGTGTGCCTGGAGGTTGACACATGCCCTTGAGGGATGGTGGACCAGGAGCAAGATTCACTTCCAGGGGACTGCAAGCAGATTGTGCTGCTGGAGCAATTTTACTACCTCTTGCCGGCGGAGGTGCGACAGTGGACCCAGGACCAGAAGCCCACTGCAGCCGCTGCAGCTGCAAAGTTAACCCAGCAAGTCTGTGAGACTCGTGGAGGAGTCCCCAGGATTGCTCTTCCGGGACAGAATCCTACGCCATGGACGGCGGTAGCAGCCTCTGCTCAAACTGTAGAATCCAGGAATGTCCCACAGCCAGACAGGGCTATGTACCCCAATGGTGTACCCAGTCAAAGGTCAACATCCTAGAAAGGGAGCAATGGGGTAACTGGGCACACAAAAAGTCCCAGGGCAATGCACCAGCCTGTTTGTCATGGGTGCCAGCGCCAGGAGTATTTTGTGAGAGACTCTCCCTCCCAAGCGAGAGTGGGGTCCTAAGGAATATGTTGGGACAGCAGAGGAAGCTGAGGTGCACCAGTACCAGACTGCGAATCCCCTTCAGCCACACCTACTACTCAGCCACTTCACCAGCGACCAAGGAGACGCAGAAAGTGCCCCACCCCAGATGTTACAGCTTCGCTACCACAGAGCGGCACTGGCACCCACTCTGAGGATGAACCAAGGGTGCCAGCAGCTGCTGTCTGGGACAATGATTCACTGGTAGTGAACCATTCCACTCAACCCACCATACACGAAGGTGGCACTCCCACTCTGGCAAAGGATCTTGTAAGACCGAACCCCCCTAATCTGATTAAGACTGCCTGGACTGACCTTGCTGTCCTAAGACACTAGACCCTAATGGACCTTAGTTTAGCTGGAATGAGGGACAGGGCAGAGACAGGAGAGGTAGAACCACAGGGAGAGATGATCTTTTGGGAAGGGGGACTGCTGTACAGGGAGAGTAGTGTGAGGGAGACGGAGCAGGAGTGGAAAGTAACCCGACAACTTGTTGTTCCTTCATACTGCTGAACCCAACTGATCACCCTGGCCCATGAGGTCCCTCTGGCGGGCCACTTGGGAATCAGTAAGGCCAGGCTGACTAAGGCTTTCTACTGGCCATGCATCTCATAGACGATTATTCAGTTTTGTAGCTCCTACTACGCTTGCCTGCGGAACGGCAAAGAGAAGAGACGGTGGAAGGCACCACTCCAGTCTAAGCCCATAGTGGGGAGTCCCTTCCAGAGGGTCACAATAGATATTGTGGGACCCTTGACTTGCCCGGGGAAGAGATACATCCTCACAGTTGTGGAGTATGTCACTAGATACCCCAAGGCTGTAGCTCTGTCCCGGATTACTGCAGTCACTGTGGCAGATGCCTTGGTGACTGTGTTCACCCACGTTGGATTCATTAGTTAGATTCTGTCTGACCAGGGCACACAATTTATGTTGGAGCTGGTGCATCATCTCTGGTAACACTGTGGTGTTAGGCAGCTCAAGTCTGCTCCTTATCACCCACAGACCAATGGACTCTGTGAGCGATTCAATGGTACTTTAAAGGAGGTGTGAACTTCCAGAATATAGTAAAACATTATGAAGCCAACATAATATATAATACTCAGATGTTAACTAAAAAAGATATGGAAGAAACAGGATGATATACCTTAGAAACTCAATTAATAAATGGGAAAGATTTAAACAAGCTTATCTGGCAAAACAAAATCCCCGGTGTTATGAAAGAAATTAGAAATACAATCCTATCTCATTTAATCCTTTCTTGAGTTAAAATTGGATCTTTGGTGGGCGGGGCTGGACGGCTGGACTGTCTCCCCTCGCGGCTGCCACACGCCGACTCCCTGAGACACCTGCTGGTCCCGGGGGGGTTATCCTGGCTCCCACTGCAGAGAGCTCAGGAGCAATGGAGAAGGAGAGGCACGGTACTCCAAGATGGCGGCAGTGTGGAGCCCTACACCAATGGTCCCTGTCTCATGAAGCCCCAGAGGAGAGAAGCCGTGCAGCCGTGCAGCTCACCAACCTGCACAACTCACAAAGAAAGCCCAGCGGTGAGCAGACTGTTAACCCTGAAGAGGGAGAGCTCAGCAAGGTGAAAGCCAGGCAACCTCAGGCAGCCAATAAATTTGCCAACATGCCCCACAATCGTGAAGGGGAGGCTCTAACTATAAGAATGAGCAATGAAAACCTAGTAATACTTACCAAGAACTGTAGTCCTGCATTACCTCACCAACTCAGCTCTACAAACCCTACTCGGACTTTCAGTCACAAGCGACGACTTCAAGACACCTCATGTCACCACAGAGGCACACACAACAAGAGACTGGTAGTGTCTGGGATACCACCTACAGCTCTTGACCCAGATCACTAACATCACCAGCAGCCATTTTTTGATGCCTGTTACAGCTCTCACCAACCACTTCTCCAGCAAGGTCTTCCACAGACATTAGTCTCTGTAAAGCAGATAGCCTAACCCCAGTGGTCTTTATTATAAAATCTGTTCGCATGTAACCTAATGATCTTTACTTAACCTGTCCCAATCGCGTACAGCCTTGTAGCCTATCATATCTTACCCAAGCAATTTCTGTGTATGTTATCTGACATAGCAGGCAACGTCTACCCTAAGTTACCACTTAATTTAATCACCTACTGGCATTGCAGCTTGAGGTCTGGAGGATCCTTAGTGTTAACACCTATACTGTGAATCTTAGCTATACTCATTAAGGAATTAACCATCAACTCACCCCCCACAGTGCCTTTAATACTGTTAAACAAGCCTGTTCCCTGTGTGCTCAAAACCATAATTTAATTTTAAAATCAGTATAGACCCAGCAAATAATGCAGCCTTGCTATTCTAGGCACCACATAGGCAAAACTTATTTCAGCTCAATAAGCGACCCCATGCTGCCTCAATATTACCAACTTGTTTATGCTAACGGAAACACACGACTGGCTTATCTCTTAGCTGTTTTGTTGACCCCACTCTTTCTAAAACTACATCAATCTATAAAATATGCAATGTTGTACTATGTCACACAAATTCTCCACTATGTTAAACATGACACTAGCAAATGCTGTTGTGGCATTGCTTGTTGCTTTGTATTTTTCCTGCACGAATAAATAAAGAATAAAAAAAGAAAAAAAAAATTGGATCTTTGAAGAGATGGGAATATTGATTTTGTAGCTGACTTAATAATGGAGGGAAAAATGAAACATTTTTCTGTATTAGCGCAGGAATTTGGCTTACCCGCAGATGAAATATTCAAATTTCTGAGAGTAAAATCAATGTTATCAAAAAATCTAGATGACGGGAGCAATCAAAGTTCAGTATACATAAAACAAATTTTTGAAATTAGGAATTCTATGAAGATAATGTCCAAATGCTATGCACTAATTAGATCTAGGCCAAAAGAAGTTGTGTCAAAACATCTTAGGAAGTGGGAAAGTGAATGATATAGTAATTGATAGAGCTATTTGGGGTGATATTTTAACACGAGTAAAAAAAAATGTACACAATATAACATTGTTTGAGACACACTATAGAGTGTGCAATAGATGTTACTTGGTTCCAACCAGACTAAAGAGAATAAACGCCAGTGAATCAGATATGTGCTGGAGATGTAGGAATGGAGTAGGAAGTTATTTGCACATATGATGGAGTTGCGGAAAAATTAAAAACCTATGGGATCTATGATATTTAGAATGTTATATGTATGTGGTAGGATTAGAATTGATCAATCCCCAGTTACTGCACTATTACATTTGACCTGGCCAGATCTGTCATCTACACAGTATTTTCTGACCACTCATTCTTTCGTGGCTTTAAAGATTCTGATTGCAAGAAATTGGAAACAGACAATTGAAATTGGTTATGGCCCATGGAAGAACCAGTTGACCTTGCAAATAAGCAACAAAATGGGTTCATAATGGAGGAAAGGTAATTCAAAGAAATACCTCCTGGGACAAAAATGTTTGGATTTGCTAGGGACTTGCATATAAGCCTGAGTAATTCATGCACTTTAGAGATATTACTGATATAAAAAAAGTAAAGAGATAAAAAGCCCTGCTTCAGTCCTGTACTTTTCCCACATTTGTCATAGGATGTTTGTAATTTTGTAATAATGTATATGTTGTTTTTATGAATGTGTATGTAATATGAGCATTTTTTTTTTTTGTACTAATGAAAATCCAATAAAGATTTAAGGGAAAAAAAAATAAAATAAAGACCATGCTCAGGAGCTTCAAGGATAGCGAACCAACTTGGGAGAAGTACTCCCTTTGTTCTTGTTCGCATTCCGTGAGGTTCCTCAAGAATCCACATTTGAGCTCCTGTTTAGTCGACAGGTGTGAGGGCCCCTGGACCTGCTAAAGGAATTCTGGGAGGAGGATTACATTCAGGAGGAAGTACCAGTAGTCCCCTATGTATCTGAGTTCAGGGAGAGGATGGAGACCCACACTGGCTTAGTCCAGCAGAACCGAAGCGCCGCCCAGACCAAACAGAAGGTTTGGTATGACCGAGAGGCTAGGACCAGGGAGTTTGTCCCAGGGCAGAAGGTCCTTGTTCTGATAACCTTCCCAGCCAATAAGTTGCAAACTGCTTGGCGCGGTCCCCACAAGATCGTTAGTAAGTTAAGCAACACAGATTATGTTGTCGCCATGGACCGCGGTTGAAGAGTCCAATGTGTAATCTATGTAAATATGCTGAAGGGGTACCAGGAATGGGATGCTGCTGTCTTAGCGATCTGTTGACCTGAAGACAACCCAGGAGAGTTGTCTTACTCCCTAAGACTAACATAAACCCCCAACTGCCCCTTGTCACTGTTAGTGAAGACTTGACAGAGGTCCAGACGCAGCAACTCAGACAGGAATTGCTCCAGAAGCAGCATTTGTTCTTGGAGAAGCCTGGTCGTATGCGCTTGTTGCGCACCAAGTGCTGACCACAGGACTGGCGTCGCTGAGGCAGATGGCTTAGAATCCTCGAGTCTGTGAGATGGTTCATTTGCCAGGAGATAGATGAGATGCTATCCCTGGGTGTGATTGAGCCCTCTCAGAGTCCCTTGGCATCACTTGTGGTGCTGGTACCTAAGAAAGATGGGACTACTCACTTCTACGTCGACTATCATCGACTGAACGAGAAAACGGTGACCGATGGCTATCCCATGCACTGTATTGATGAGTTGCTGGACAGGTTAGTGGGGGCCAAGTACCTGACTATGATAGATCTGGCCAGGGGCTATTGGCAAATTCCATTGGAAAAGGAGGTGATGGAGAAATCTGCCTTCATCACTCCATTCAGGCTTAACCGGTTTTCCGTAATGCAGTTCAATGAAGAATGCTCCCACCACCTTCCAGCAGTTAGTTGACCAGCTCCTCTGTAGATGCCACGACTTTGTAAGCGCATACTTGGACAATATTGCTTTAGTGCATCATGGTCGGGTCACATACAGCAAGTAGAAACATAGAAACATATAGAAACATAGAATGTGACGGCAGATAAGAACCATTTGGCCCATCTAGTCTGCCCAAATTTCTAAATACTTTCATTAGTCCCTAGCCTTATCTTATAGTTAGGATAGCCTTATGCCTATCCCACGCATGCTTAAACTCATTTACTGTGTTAACCTCTACCACTTCAGCTGGAGGGCTATTCCATGCATCCACTACCCTCTCAGTAAAGTAATACTTCCTGATATTATTTTTAAATTTTGTCCCTCTAATTTAAGACTATGTCCTCTTGTTGTGGTAGTTTTTCTTCTTTTAAATATTGTCTCCTCCTTTACTGTGTTGATTCCCTTTATATATTTAAATGTTTCTATCATATCCCCCCTGTCTCGTTTTCCTCCAAGCTATACATGTTAAGATCCTTTAACCTTTCCTGGTAAGTTTTATCCTGCAATCCATGAACCAGTTTAGTAGCCCTTCTCTGAACCCTCTCTAAGGTATCAATATCCTTCTGAAGATACGGTCTCCAGTACTGTGTACAATACTCCAAGTGAGGTCTCACCAGTGTTCTGTACAATGGCATGAGCACTTCCCTCTTTCTACTGCTAATACCTCTCCCTATACAACTAAGCATTCTGCTAGCATTTCCTACTGCTCTATTACATTGTCTGCCTACATTTAAGTCATCAGAAATAATAACCCCTAAATCCCTTTCCTCATATGTTGAGGTTAGGACTCTATCAAATATTCTGTACTCTGCCCTTGGGTTTTTACGTCCAAGATGCATTATCTTGCACTTATCCACATTAAATGTCAGTCTGACAATTTTTCTAGTTTACCTAAATCATTTGCCATTTGGCTTATCCCTCCTGGAACATCAACCCTGTTACATATCTTAGTATCATCAGCAAAAGACATACCTTACCATCTAGACCTTCTGCAATATCACTAATAAAAATATTAAAGAAAATGGGTCCAAGTACAGATTCCTGAGGTACCCCGCTGGTGACAAGTCCATGCTTCGAATATATTCCATTAACTAAAACCCTCTGTTGCCTGTCACTCAGCCACTGCCTTACCCATTCAACAATATTGGAATCCAAACTTAAAGAGGGCAGTTTATTGATAAGCCTTCTATGTGCAACAGTGTCAAAAGCCTTACTAAAATCTAGGTAAGCAATGTCTACTGCACCACCCTGATCTATAATTTTAGTTACCCAATCAAAAAAATCAATAAGATTAGTTTGGCATGATCTCCCTGAAGTAAACCCATGTTGTCTCTGATCTTGAAATCCATGTGTTTTAGATGTTCAACAATCCTATCCTTTAACATGGTTTCCATCACTTTCCCCACTACTGAAGTAAGGCTTACTGGCCTATAGTTGCCCAACTCCTCCCTCTTACCTTTCTTGTAAATGGGCACAACATTCGCTAACTTCCAATCTTCTGGGACTACTCCTGTTAACAATGATTGGTTAAATAAATCTATTAATGGTTTTGCTAGTACACCACTAAGCTCTTTTAATAGCTTTGGGTGTATTCCATCAGGTCCCATTGACTTATTTGTCTTTACTTTTGACAGTTGAAATAGAACCTCTTCCTCTGTAAACTCACGTGTAATAAATGACTCATTTATCCTTTTTCTCAACTGAGGCCCCTTTCCTTCATTTTCATCTGTAAATACAGAACAAAAATATTCATTGAGGCAGTCAGCTAGACCTATATCCTCTTCTACATACCTTCCTTCTTTTGTTTTTAATCTAACTACTTTGTTTTACTTTTCTTTTCTCATTTATGTATCTAAAAAATGTTTTGTCCCCCTTTTTTACTGACTGTGCTATTTTCTCTTCTGTGTGTGATTTGGAAACTCTTATAACTTGCTTAGCCTCTTTCTGCCTAATCTTATAGATCATTTTGTCTTCCTCTTGT